GAGCAGCCGGAACAGCCAGGGAGAATCAAACCAGTGGCTCTGGGTTATCAGAATGAGACAAGGAAAACCGTGGCCGTGTAACTGGCCTGCAGTGATGGTGAGAGCATGTGTGCGTGCACGCCAGGCTCCCCCCGCCTCTGCCCCCAGTTGCTGTGACTGCGGCAGAGCCCACAAGCGGGTACGGGGTGGCTAGATCTCCCCTGACCCTGCCCACGTGCCCAGCGTGGGCAGCTGCGCACTCAGATCTGGGCCGACACAGACTGTTCTAGCAGCCGTGGGGGTCTGAGGCTCCCCCCATGCCCGCCTCCTGCCAACACTGCCCCTACTGCAGCACTGCGCCTCCGACACGTCCTCCACAACCCTCCATTGGCTTCCATCCTGCCCCCTACTGCTGCCCCCTCTCTGCGGCTGCCTCAGCTCCTTGGAGAGACTCTGCCCCAGCACCTCCCTCTTCCCCGGCTTGGCCTGGCCGCTCCTGCCCTCCAGCCTCCCTGGGCAGCCGGCTCCAGCAGCATCAGGGGACCAACCATCCCTGTTCATGGCGCTGGCAGGGCGGCTCCAATGGGCTGCGGCACATTTCCCAGGCCACAGTCCCCCGCGGGGATCGGCGCCAGCACAGACCCACGAGCCGGCTGAAGTCCCACCGCGCAGGCAGAGCTCTGTCCGCAGGCACGGCGCTGGGCACCGCAGAGAAGAGGGGGCAGCACAGGGAGGGGACAGTCTAAGGCCTGGCTGGGGGCCCGCTAAGGGTTCTCGCTAAAGGACTGAGAGGTCTGCCAGTGGGCACAGCAGCAGTCAGTGCGTGGGGCAGCAGGAGGTCTCCCTAGTCCGTGCTGCCCAGGGTACTGCAAAATGCCACTACCTGCCTCTGCAGGGACCTTCGCCTGCCAGCCCCGATTCTAGGCCATGGCTAAGCCCACCAATAAGCCCGGCCTCTCCAGCTCCCTGGGAAGCAGCCGCCCATGGCCAGGCCACTCAGAGCGATCAGAGCCAGGGCAGGTCGCTCGGGGCGTTTGGCCTCCCGTGCAGGGGGTGCAGTCCGATGCAGACAGGCGGCTTTCCCCCGTACTCTCCCCGTCCCTGATCTGAGTTCCAAGCCGCTCGGTGCATGGAATGCGCGGGGAAGCCAGCACTAGATTTGCACCTGGGGGCCATGGACGGGCTGCCCCAGACGGGCCTGGGGTTTGGTGCCACCTGGATCTGGGACACACAAGGCATCATTGAGCTTTATTCCCAGGATCCTGACCCTGTCCCATAGGGAGGGACCTGGCCCCAGCACCCCAACCCCAGCTACAGAAACTGCTCCCCCTTGGGACTCGCCCCCCGCCCCGTGCCCTACAACTAATCCAGACTCCCTACAGCCACAAGGGGCAGCGCGTTCCCCAGGTGATCCCGTACCCACCATCCACAGCAGGAGCATGGCTCTCAGGTGCACCCGCGTGCCAGCTCCCCAGGCCTCTCGCACACAGATTGGCCACAGGTGCAGACCAGGGCAGTAGTGGGCCAGTGCAACCCCCCAGCATTTGCATGTGTAAAGTGGGGACTGGTATCTACAGATGCACCTTGCAGGAGGGGGAGACAAGCAGATGCACCTGCAAATCGGGGAGCTCTTGGTAAGTTTGGCCTGCGGCTCCGTCCTATGGAGACCGACACTTTTTCAAAGCTGTTCCTCAGAGTCCCACAACCCCGAGCATCCGTGCCTGAGTTTTGTGTGCGTTGCCCCCCCGCTGTCCCCCTCAGCTGAGGATTAGCCGAAGGGATACAAGGAGCAGGACCGGGGTAGGGAGTTAGCAGTGGGCAAGTCTGCTCTGGGCATGTAGCATCCGGGCTATGGAGGCCCGGCCCAAAGAGTCAGGGGAAGAGATGCAGCCCTTTGGGGAGTCCCGGGTTGATTCTGTGGAGGGGACCAATGGACGGTTCGTGCTAATTCTACCCATCACCAGCAAGAGAAAAACATCCGCTGAGGATTTAAGGACGGTGAGCTGGAAACGGCTCTGCTCCTGCCGCAGATCCGCTCCTCACTAGCCAGAGTGCCCGGCTCCCTGTCCTGCCCTTGCAGGTCAGTGCTGATCCCATGCCAGGTGCTTGGCACACAGGGATGTGGTCCCGGAGCCGACGGGCCTGCAATCTAGGCAGGCCCCAGGCAAACGCAGCAGAGGGAGCAGGGGAGGAGGGCAGGGGAGGCGGAGTGCTTCTCGGAGGAGGGCTGGAGGGGAGGGCAGAGGCATGGGGAAGTGCCCCACAATCCACTCACACCCCGGGGGGGGGTCACTGATCTCATTCTCCACAGTGCTATTCCCAAAGTCTGGGGACAGTCGCAGTGAATGTTACAAGGGTCTCTCCTGGGTCCCCACCCCTGGAGCCGCACTGAAGCTGACTGGGACCCCCAGACAGGCCAGGCCCAACCCCCTGGGTCCAAACACTCGCTGGTCAATCCGACCTGGCTCTGAAACCTGCAGCTGGGCCCCCTCGAGAATGGGCTGCACCGATGGCCGGACCCCAGCGGGGTGGCTACCTAGCGGGGTACGGGGTGGGCCCCAGCCCTTGCCCAGAACTCCTGCCAGCGCGTCGCAGCGAGGGAACAGCCCCGAGGGCCGTGGGAGCCTGTCCTGCCAACCACAGCCAGTCAGCGCCTGCTTAGCATCACCACTGGGAGGCTCAGCACCGCCCCCTGAGAGCGCCCGGGCGGCTCCTTCAGCGACAATTCAATGAGGTCAGAAAAAAAGCCAGCTGCTGCCAGCTCCTCCGCCCTGCCGAGCGAGAGGCGCCTGCCAGACAGTTGATGTGACAGGTTTAGGGCTGGCAGGATTTATGGAACGCTTGGGCTGCGGGAGAAACAGGCTGGCACAGAGACAAGCAAACAGGCCCCAGCCTCAGCCACCTTGGGCTGGGCTGGCGCGAGAGGCAGGCCCCAGGGCCCAGGAAGGGACGGCGGCAGAGGGACAGGGCGGCGGCTGGGGCTTGGCCGACATGGCCAAGTTAGCTCGGCGTCGCTGTCGGGAAAAGCTGCCACCCCCCAGGGACAGAGCTGTGCTGGCCACGCCCCAGTGCAGAGCCGGGAGCCTGGCACAAAAGCCCATTTGCTGGTCTAGCTTATTGCGTTCAGGCAGGTAGGTTAAGCTCTGGCCAGTCTAAGCTGCATTTCCAGGGGGGCAAAGCTCTGCCAGCCAAGCCTTCAGTGCCGGCAAGGCAAGGCAGCCTCAGAGGCCCTGAAGGGGGGGGGATGGGGCACAATGGGGCTGGCAAACACAAATCCCGCATGACCACGACCTCCCGCAGTCCTTGAACAGCTTCCTGGCCTGACTACAGCCTTCAAACCCAGCCTGCGGGGTCGGTGCAGGGAGCGGGCAGGCCGGAGCCAGCCAGGCCAGGCCCAGCGCTGCTCCCCAGGTAGCGCTTGCACGGCTTGCCAGGGGCCCCCGTTCCACCCCCCAGGTGCTGGGCACTGCGCCGTGGCTAGGGAAAGCCGCACGGGGGCCCAGGCCTCATGTGTTCCCCGTGGCACAGCCAGAAGAGAGGGGGCGGGCGGCGGGGCCGGGGACAGCAGGAGTGGAGGGCTTTGGTTTACGCTGGCTGATCTATCTGAGCTGAGCTTCCCGCGGAGCAGTCATGTGTGTGTGACGAGCAAGCAGTAACAGCCGCCACGGCTCTCCCTGCACCTTGTCCTCACAGCTGGGATCAGAGCACCTCCAGCCCGCGCCCCAGGGCACAGAGCCCCCAGGGCACAGAGCTGGGCTCCACAGCTGGATCTGGGTTAATATCGGGAAGGGAGTTTAAGTGGGGAGTGGGGACAGGTAACAGGGTGTCAGAGCGGGCCTTGGATTGGCTTTGAATGATGGGGACATGCCCAGAGGCTAGGGTGACGGGCAGTAACGCCTTTCTCTACAACTGCATTGCTGGCCTTGCAGGATCTGGGGATCCCTTTGCTCAGAGCATTGTGCCCTTGCCCTGCCGTAGCCCTGAGGGGCGAGGGAGCACAGGGCCCCCTGTCCCAAAGACACAGAGACAGACACTGTGCTCAGACACAGGGCCTGATCCTGCAGCCTGCTGGGCTCCCGCTCCAAGGCAGTCACCCCACTGATCCGCACAGGCGTTGCCAAGCAGCCCATCCACACCTGTCTCACATAAAACCATGGTTCTGAGTCCCTGAGCGATCACAGCAGTGGGGCTGTTAACCCCGGCGTCCTGCCCGGTCTTCGGTAAGTAACACTCTGCCCATCCAGTATCCCCCTTCAGCTTCAGCGAGACAAACACTTCTTCCCTCCTTGCCCCAAACAACTGCACAGAGCATTGCTGTGTGCTGTTCCAGCTGCAGCAACTCACCCCCGAGGCGGCTGCATCTCAGCACTGTGTGGGTGATCCCTGGACAAACAGTTGCCAACCCACACCCCAGAGGCAGCTGCATCTCAGCACTGGGTGGGCAACCCTGTATAAAAAACTGCTGCATTTCATCCTAGAGGTGACTGCATGGGGGTGGGGGAATCCTTGTGCAACAGCAGCTGTGTTCCGCCCCAGAGGTGGCTGCATTTCAGTACCAGGTAAGTGACCCTTATATAAACAGCTGTTACATTCCACCCCAGAGAAGGCTGCATTTCAGCACAGGGTGACATGATCCCTGTATATCCCTTAACCTAGCCTCACTGGGGGGCACTGGGAGTCTTGATTCAGGTTTGTAAAGCACTTTGTGATCCGGGGGGTGAAAGGTGCTCGAGAAGAGCAGAGTAACGCCATCACCGCACGCCATGTTCAATGCCCTCCCAAAGCGGGTGCTGTGCATGGTGCTGGACGGGAAAATCCCTGCCTGACCCCCACCGTCAATCACTCGGCTTCGTCCTGAAGCCTGGGGCTCCTTGAAGGGAGCTGCTGTGAGTGCCTGGGGTCAGCTCCGGCCCTAGGCGAGTATCTCAGAGCGGGGCTGGGCGAGGGGTATGTCTCAGGCACTCCCTCCCCGCCACCCCCCGACGTCATTTCAAGGGCCCCTCTCCCGGCTCCACTCTTACCTCTGGGTTCCTCTGCCTGTTTGGCCAGTTTGCGCAGGGCGGCAGCGAAGCTGGAGGAAGGCGCTGACTGGACTGACAAGGAGCTGTTGGCCGCTGGGCTGCCATTGGGCACAAGGGAGCCATTGAGAGGAGAAGGGGTCAGGGGGCTGACGGTGGCCGTGGTCCGGGTCGCAGTGGAGAGCATTCCTAGTGAAGGTGACTTTGGCTCATGGCTCATGCCTGAAACAAGGAAAAGAACAATCCAGATCACCGGGAGAGAAGGCGCCTGAGTCACCTGAGAGTCGCTACTGCATGCAGGGACAGAGGCCGGGGCAGACGACAGCACTCGGCTCCTGGCACGGACAGAGGCAGCCCAGCAGCCATCCACCCCCGGCACCCACGCAGGGCTTTCCAGCCGCAGATCTCAAAGCGCTCTGCAAAGGCAGCACCCCCGTTTACCGAGGGGGAGACGAGGGACAGGACTGCCCTAAAGTTGCCCCCAGTTGAAGCCAAGTCTCCCAGCTCCCTGGTCACCAGTCACAGCTGCCCGATGCCCAGCAAGGCCAGCCCCGGGCGGTAGTGGGGGAACGGGCGCGTCTCTTAAGGGAGCTGCCCAGGCCCGCGCCCAGCAGGGCTGGGAGTCTCCTCTGCTTGCACCCGCAAACTTGGATCAGCCTAAGGGGGCAACCACGTACAATCACCATAGCTCACCATCCACCCAGGCCAGCCGCCTCCCTGGTCTCTCTGGGTGCTACATGGAGCTCCCATTCCGGCATCTGAGCATCTCCCACTTGAGGTACCCTCCCAACGCTCCCCTCCAGAGGGGCACGCTGCCCCCATCTGACAGAGACCACGGGCCCGGGCCCCAGAGCTCGTGAGGTTCCTAACTTCCCTGGGAACCTAATGAAAGTGACTCAGCCAAGAACCTGTGGTGGGGCCAGGAATTGGACCAAAATCCCCATTCAGTGCTCCACCCACACAGAACTGCATCAAAGACTCCGTACGCCAACAGCGTCCCAGCTCCAAAAGGAGCCCGCCTGCCACATCAATACTGATACAAGCCCAGCTGACCCTGCGCGCTACGAGCGCCCGACCCTCCCCTCGCACTGCGGACTCCCAGGAGGAGACCGCCTTTACAGACGAGCCCATCTGGAGGAAGTCACGGGCAGCCGTGCAAGGGGAAGAGGCAGAAACTGATGCCAGGCAGGTTCCAAAGAAAGCAGGAGCAGACCTGCCCAAAGGGGAGAGGCAGCGGCGGGCAGACCATTGGGGCCAGATCCCAAACACAGACGTCTTGGAAGAAGGCCTGGGGTCAGGCTGCACCGGCCTAGGATCTGCTAGAACAGGAGCTGTTGGACTTTCAGTCCTTTTCCCGAAATCCAGTGGGAAGGGAGGGAATCAGAGACAACAAAAATAGTGAATCTAAGCTCTGATTTCACCATCCCACCGGGACTCACAAGATCGGACACTGAGCGAGCAACTGGGCTTCCCCCTTTGGCTCCGCGGGGAAGGGGGGGGGGGGGAGAAATAGACGGGGATTTCAGCCGAAAGCAAGAAAGTCTTTGAAACCCTCCTGCCCAACGAGCCCAACCGCCCCCTGGCCTGTGGAGTCGCATGGCGCCGGGGGCACAAAGCATGGCCCCTTCTCCCATCCCCTCCTCCGAAACCCCCAGCCCCACAACAATGAATCAAACGCCCACCCGGTGCCCAGGTCAGCCGGGCCACTTCCCTGCAAAGGAGAGAGTAGAGAATCAAAGAGCTTACAGAGCGCAGGCCGGCAGGTGACTCCCGGCTTCCGTCAGCTGAGGGCTCGGGGGCTTTGGGTTTAATTTCTGTAGCCCGCGATGGATTATAAAAGAGAGCGGCGCTCAGGGAAACCCCATTCTTCCCAGCGAGCGCTCGGAGCTTATCTAACAAAGCAGCGGCACACAGACACTGCTCCCCACAGAAACCAGGCTGACACTCTCGGCTGAACAGCTGCCGCGAAGTCACATGGCCCCAGCTGATCTGTAATATCCAGGGCCGCTTTTAGATAACAGTGGTGTTTTGTCAGCGCAGCGCCCAGCAGCAGGCCCTATTGAGCGCGTCTGAAGCAGCATTGATCCAGGCGTTTGACCCCGCCGTGTCCTCCGCTCTGGCGCTAAAGGCGGAAGAGGGAGAAAGCAGCCAGGAGCGGGCTGAGCCGCCGCGCTCGCCCATGAGTCTGCGAGGGCTGAGCAAGAATTAGCACAAACTGCACCACTGATTGCTCAGCCAGACGCAGGGGGCCCTCAGCCGTGGCCTCGCAGCTGCTGCTCGGAGCAGCGCACGGGGAGAGGTGACTCCCTGCTCCGGGCTTCTCGCTCAGCTGGGAATGAATGGACTCAAATACAGCTTAGGAAAGAGGAAGGTCCATGGCTGCCAGGCGGTTCTGCCAATGCCCCTCATTCCCGACCCGCAGCCCCTGCTAGTCATCCAGCCCTGGGCTCCCCCAGTACCCACAGAGCTCTGCCAATGCCCCTCAATCCCGACCCGCAGCCCCTTTACCATCCCAGGTCTGGGCAGAAATTGCCGATCAGGCTTCACACGGTGTAAAGAATTGTTTTGTGGCAGAACAAACATCCACTGGCCCCTCACACTCATTGCCCCCGCGCCCCGAGCCAGGTGGGAATCCAGGGTTATGGGGTGAAGGGCCTGTCACCATTGCAGAGACGGGAACACTGACAATCACGGGAGCTCTTCTGAAGTCCCGCCTCATTGGGCCCTTCCCAGCCCTGCCCCCGCTGGGCAACACCGAACCGCCCCTTTCACTGAGCACCCCCCCACCCCATGCCGGGTCCCCCTGCACTTCAGCGCCAGCCGTGCATACCCAGGAACGGGCGCTCCGGCCACAACCACCAGCACCTCGTCAGCACCTGCACTGCCTCTCCGTCCTGTATCCCCGTCACCTGCACCAATGGGGGGCTGGCCCCCCATCCCCCAGCCTCCCTCGCCTTCCCAAGGCACCGACCCCAAGCTGAAGGTGATGGCGGAGGGAGCAAGGGGGTCCGAAGACTTTCCTTAGACCGTCCATCCAGGCTACTTCTCTTCTCACCCCTGCCCAACCGCGTGGCACAACCCACCCCTGCTGCAGAGCAGCCACTGGCCACCCCAGGTCCCAGAGACAGGATGGAGCCACGCAACCCCTGCAGCCACCGTCGCCCACCCTCCCTTCCCGCCAGGAGAACATTCCTAGCCTGTGGGGCCGCCCCTGCGCTGCAGTGTCGCTGCGGACACTGGGGCCTTAGCACTCGCTATGGACGGGGCAGGGCTTGGCTCACCTGCCAGCAACAGGGCGCCAGGAAGAGCTGCCAGGGGAGGACAGCCGGGGTAACTGGGTGAGCTCAGAGCCAGGCAGGCTCTTGCCAGCTTGTGCCAGGCCCCATTGGCCCAGGAAAGGGCAGGCTGGGGCATAGATTCTGTGCCTCTGGCGGACAGGCTGGCAGGAGCTGCCCGGCGCCCAAGCAGTGATCCGTCAGAGCCATCCATGAACACTCTTCACTGCAGTCAGACCTACTCTGCCGGCTGCTCTCTCGGCTTGTAGCTCCAGCCGGAGCTCTGGGTTCAAACGGGGCTGTGGGGCGTTACCGCCGCACCTGACAGAACTGGTTTGTTGCAGGACGCCCTGGGGGGAAGTTCTCTGGCCCTCCTGGGGCTGGGCAGGGATCAGACTAGACAGTCAGAATGATATCCCTGACGGGAGGCCGGCCAGGGGCTCCAAGTGCCGGGACAGCGCCTGCCACCTTCCTGCACTCAGAACAGGCTGCAGAGCACCGGAAAGCCCACATCAGCGCCGGGAGGCCAGGGCGTGTCGCCTCACAACAATCTCCTCTGGGCTCTCTGCCCCAGGCTGCCGTCCCTGCATCGGCGGCCCCCCCAGGGAAGCTGCGTGTCTGGCTCTCCTGGGCATGGAGGTGGCCAAGCAGGAGAGGGGACGAGGGGGCACACCAGGAAAATGCCACTGGGTTCAGAGGGAACTTGGCACTGATGTGACCCCAGGGGGCAGGTCACAGCTTCCCCCAAATCACCTCAATCTACAAGCTCCCCCATTATCCCCCCCTGTCCTGGCACCTTCCAAGGGACTTCTCCAAACTGGGAATCTTCCACACATGGGGGGATCCCCCCGCCTGGCTCCCATCTGCTGTGGCCACTGGAGCCAGGACTTTCCCTCTCCCGGGCTGCCCAGAGGAGCCCTTCCCATCAGAGGCCCAGCCAGAGCTCTGCTGCATCTCTGCTGGCGCTAAAGGGGCCAGATGACAGCGAGGGCACAAAGGGTGGGTGGCTGCGCTTTGTCTCAGCTGCATGGCGCCGCCTCACCCCTCAGCCCAGCTCCGGGGTTGTCTCCATCTGAGGAAGGCCCCATCTAATCAAGCCTCTGGGGCACTAAGCGACCGGGCTCCGGGGGATATAGCCCAACCGACGGGACCAGGGAGCCCAGAGAACCAGGCTGGGAACGAGAGCTGGGCCCAGCCTCCTAGCACGTTCCACACGCAGTCTCGGTGAGGCCTGGCTCAAAGCCTTTCCCCACTCAACGCAATCCCCGGACGGCACCTCAGGAAGGGCTCGTCTTCACTACTGCCTGGCTGAGGCCTGGTTCCATTTTGCAGCTGGGCCTGGGCCATCACCTGAGGCGCTAGCAGGCTCTGTAAAGGTGGCCTGTGAAACCCTGGAGCTTGTGCCATTCTGCCCTTCTCTGCGCCGGACAGCAGGCTAGTTCTTCACACAGGTCGTCTCGCCTCAGAAATCTCCGGCACGGCAAACCGGGCTGCCCTTGGCAAGCAGCCGGCGTGTCTCACAGCACGTGGGCTGAGGGGACAGGGAGCCATCTTTAGCCAAGACTTCCTTTCTCCAGCATGCTCACTGGCCACTGGAGTAAGATGTGTGTCAACAGCCAAGCACTCAGGCGCAGTGCTAAACCGACGGCCGCCCAGCTTTCCCTCTGGCTGTCACACGCTCTCCGGTCACCACAGACTCTCCCCAGCTGGACAGGAGGCGAATTTCTAATGTAAACACCAAACAAAAACCCTTTCCAGCTTCCTTTCTTCCCCACCTCCCTGGCCTCTGCAGCTCCTCAGTGCCCCATGTGACAGAGCCCTACTGCAGTGAGACAACAACTGCACCGCCAGCAGGTCTCCAGGCACGGTGCCACACACAGGGGGCCTACGTGTGCATTGAACAGGGATGCTTGAGAAGCGCAGGAGCAGCTGCTGCACGTCTGTGGGGAGACGGGGAAGAGGCAGGGAGAAAGCCAAGCACTTGAGTGGCCCGATTCCTGGGGAAGATGGAAGGGGAGGGCGGTGGTTCTGGAGTGTCACTCAGCATTTATTAATCTTTGGCCCCGGTGGCCTCGAGAGACACCCAGCGAGCCCGAGCTCTCTGCCTCTCCCCTCACCTCTGCCCTCATTATAGAGGCATTTATTAACTTCTGCGCTCTCAGCCATTGACTGGAGTCTTGTCTACATGATCAGCTCATGTAAATTCATTATCCTAACAGCTGGGAATAAAACCCTGCCTGAGCGGGAAGGGAGCTGACGGATGAGGGCTGTGGGGGCGGCGTGTGCCAGGCAAGGGATCTCCTGCCTTTTATGGCACCTGCTTGAGCCAGAGGGAGCGGGCGGCGGAGGGGGAAGAGGGGCTGCAGCCCTGAAATGTCTGTTCTAAACCAACATGCAGCATGTCAAACAGCAGCTCTTCGGCGCGCTGGGTCCATGAACCCTCCCAGTGCCGTCCCTTCCCTAAAGCCGTCGCCCATCACCGCAGCCTCCGGGGGCTCCGCACAGAGCCAGGCTGCAGCGCCGGCAGACAGTCACCAAGGCCCAGGTTTTCCAAAGCATTTAGACTCCTAACATCCATCGCGAGCGGCGGGGGCGCCCGGTGGCCTGCGCGGTACATGTTTGGTGGGTCCCATGCCACGGCAAACCCCCTAAGCGCATCTCAGCAGAGAAGCCCGGGCCAGCCTGGAAGCGATCCCCCTCTCTCGGGAGCAGAGAGTCGCTGCCCGGGCTGTCCCTGTCGCGTTTCTAATGAAGCTGCCCGTCTCCAGGGCTGGCAACTCACCCCGGCGCCCCGCCCCAGTGAGGCCACGTTCACACACTCGCTGATGGGGGAGGCACCAATCAGGACTCCTGGGTCCTGGTGCTAACTCAGCCCTGTCTCCGTGTCTCCTCGGGCCCTGCAGAGCGAATGTCACGGACTCACCTCAGCAGGGCGCTTTGAGATCCCTAGGTGAGCATTAGGGCTCCTGCTGCCACACCCCTTGGCGATAAGGAGCCCGGATGGGTTAATCAGTAACTCCCCCATTCACAGGGAGCCGGACCAGCTGTCCCAGGGCACCAGCCGATAGAAAGCAAGCCTCTTCTCCGCCATTAAGTATGGCATCTGTATCCCGCCGCACCCCCCTGCCCAATAAATGGTTCAAGAAGCATTACTAATCAGCACTCTGCCTGCCTCCTGCCGATTCCATAATTACTCCTTCCTTTCATCCCCGGCTCTGCGCAGACACCAGACCTCAGGCCTGCTGCCTCGCTGCTCTGTAATTACAAGCTAATAGCGTCAATGAATTTTCTGCTGGGGCCCAGTTCAAGCACCAATCCCGCCCCTTCCCCCTTGACGACCCCCCTTGGGGTAATTACACCCTGGAATGCCGGGCGCAGCAAGCCTCCGCATTTCCTCACAGGAGCTCACTGGCGGCCTGAATTACCTAATCACCCCACTCGGTAATTCTTCATTACCGGAGAAAGAAATGTTTGTGAACAAATAAAGGACGCCCCAGAGCTGGGTGCACTGGGCCTTCCCCGCCCCCGCAAGCGGAGCCTCCCTGTGCCCCCACCCACCCACATACGCCTCTCCCG